TCAAGGACGTCTGCTACAAGTGGGCTTGGGGACATGAGCAAGATTGTTGAGTTGGACAGGGCTCAGCACTTGCACACTTCCCAGGACCATGTATAAACGGACTCCCTGGAAGTTTGCGGAAGTCTACTCTCACCTAGTTGTTGCACCTTTTTCAAGGCGTTTTAGTATAGAAATGGAGATTTGTAGTTAAGCGTGTCAACTCCTCCAGAGGGCGCTGTTCGTGAAGCCTGGATAGCTCAGTCGGTAGAGCATCAGACTTTTAATCTGAGGGTCCAGGGTTCAAGTCCCTGTTCAGGCGAGTAGTTTGTTGTATAATATGGTTGTGAAGTGTCCTGTTGCACTTGCAGTCATCAATGTTCATGGTGACTTGCATGTATGTGGAGCTGACTGGCCAGATTATCTATGTTACCCTCAGAAGTCTTCGAGGCTACATTTCCACGTAGACACATATTTGCGTTGTTGATGACCAAATCGCAGACCACTAATATGATTGAGATGTGTCTTTATCTTTCCCCATTGCATTGGGATTGTGAAAATAAAAGATTGCGAGCGGTCTGGAATAGTCTTCGCCCCAAACCGACCTTCTGGACGTTGCTCATTGTCTGCTTAAGGACCCCTGAACCTAGTTCATGGTGGATTAGTCTAGATATTGGGATTTGTAGGTATGCCTGTCAATTAGAGCATCAGACTCGAGTATTTTGTTGTCTAATGTGGTTGTGAACTGTCTCTAGAACTCACTATCGCCATCTTTCAAGGACGTCTGCTACAAGTGGGCTTGGGGACATGAGCAAGATTGTTGAGTTGGACAGGGCTCAGCACTTGCACACTTCCCAGGACCATGTATAAACGGACTCCCTGGAAGTTTGCGGAAGTCTACTCTCACCTAGTTGTTGCACCTTTTTCAAGGCGTTTTAGTATAGAAATGGAGATTTGTAGTTAAGCGTGTCAACTCCTCCAGAGGGCGCTGTTCGTGAAGCCTGGATAGCTCAGTCGGTAGAGCATCAGACTTTTAATCTGAGGGTCCAGGGTTCAAGTCCCTGTTCAGGTGAGTAGTTTGTTATATAATATTGTTGTGAAGTGTCCTGTTGCACTTGCAGTCATCAATGTTCATGGTGACTTGCATGTATGTGGAGCTGACTGGCCAGATTATCTATGTTACCCTCAGAAGTCTTCGAGGCTACATTTCCACGTAGACACATATTTGCGTTGTTGATGACCAAATCGCAGACCACTAATATGATTGAGATGTGTCTTTATCTTTCCCCATTGCATTGGGATTGTGAAAATAAAAGATTGCGAGCGGTCTGGAATAGTCTTCACCCCAAACCGACCTTCTGGACGTTGCTCATTGTCTGCTTAAGGACCCCTGAACCTAGTTCATGGTGGATTAGTCTAGATATTGGGATTTGTAGGTATGCCTGTCAATTAGAGCATCAGACTCGAGTATTTTGTTGTCTAATGTGGTTGTGAACTGTCTCTAGAACTCACTATCGCCATCTTTCAAGGACGTCTGCTACAAGTGGGCTTGGGGACATGAGCAAGATTGTTGAGTTGGACAGGGCTCAGCACTTGCACACTTCCCAGGACCATGTATAAACGGACTCCCTGGAAGTTTGCGGAAGTCTACTCTCACCTAGTTGTTGCACCTTTTTCAAGGCGTTTTAGTATAGAAATGGAGATTTGTAGTTAAGCGTGTCAACTCCTCCAGAGGGCGCTATTCATGAAGCCTGGATAGCTCAGTCGGTAGAGCATCAGACTTTTAATCTGAGGGTCCAGGGTTCAAGTCCCTGTTCAGGCGAGTAGTTTGTTGTATAATATGGTTGTGAAGTGTCCTGTTGCACTTGCAGTCATCAATGTTCATGGTGACTTGCATGTATGTGGAGCTGACTGGCCAGATTATCTATGTTACCCTCAGAAGTCTTCGAGGCTACATTTCCACGTAGACACATATTTGCGTTGTTGATGACCAAATCGCATACCACTAATATGATTGAGATGTGTCTTTATCTTTCCCCATTGCATTGGGATTGTGAAAATAAAAGATTGCGAGCGGTCTGGAATAGTCTTCACCCCAAACCGGCCTTCTGGACGTTGCTCATTGTCTGCTTAAGGACCCCTGAACCTAGTTCATGGTGGATTAGTCTAGATATTGGGATTTGTAGGTATGCCTGTCAATTAGAGCATCAGACTCGAGTATTTTGTTGTCTAATTTGGTTGTGAACTGTCTCTAGAACTCACTACGCCATCTTTCAAGGACGTCTGCTACAAGTGGGCTTGGGGACATGAGCAAGATTGTTGAGTTGGACAGGGCTCAGCACTTGCACACTTCCCAGGACCATGTATAAACGGACTCCCTGGAAGTTTGCGGAAGTCTACTCTCACCTAGTTGTTGCACCTTTTTCAAGGCGTTTTAGTATAGAAATGGAGATTTGTAGTTAAGCGTGTCAACTCCTCCAGAGGGCGCTGTTCGTGAAGCCTGGATAGCTCAGTCGGTAGAGCATCAGACTTTTAATCTGAGGGTCCAGGGTTCAAGTCCCTGTTCAGGCGAGTAGTTTGTTGTATAATATGGTTGTGAAGTGTCCTGTTGCACTTGCAGGCATCAATGTTCATGGTGACTTGCATGTATGTGGAGCTGACTGGCCAGATTATCTATGTTACCCTCAGAACTCTTCGAGGCTACATTTCCACGTAGACACATATTTGCGTTGTTGATGACCAAATCGCATACCACTAATATGATTGAGATGTGTCTTTATCTTTCCCCATTGCATTGGGATTGTGAAAATAAAAGATTGCGAGCGGTCTGGAATAGTCTTCGCCCCAAACCGACCTTCTGGACGTTGCTCATTGTCTGCTTAAGGACCCCTGAACCTAGTTCATGGTGGATTAGTCTAGATATTGGGATTTGTAGGTATGCCTGTCAATTAGAGCATCAGACTCGAGTATTTTGTTGTCTAATGTGGTTGTGAACTGTCTCTAGAACTCACTATCGCCATCTTTCAAGGACGTCTGCTACAAGTGGGCTTGGGGACATGAGCAAGATTGTTGAGTTGGACAGGGCTCAGCACTTGCACACTTCCCAGGACCATGTATAAACGGACTCCCTGGAAGTTTGCGGAAGTCTACTCTCACCTAGTTGTTGCACCTTTTTCAAGGCGTTTTAGTATAGAAATGGAGATTTGTAGTTAAGCGTGTCAACTCCTCCAGAGGGCGCTGTTCGTGAAGCCTGGATAGCTCAGTCGGTAGAGCATCAGACTTTTAATCTGAGGGTCCAGGGTTCAAGTCCCTGTTCAGGCGAGTAGTTTGTTGTATAATATGGTTGTGAAGTGTCCTGTTGCACTTGCAGGCATCAATGTTCATGGTGACTTGCATGTATGTGGAGCTGACTGGCCAGATTATCTATGTTACCCTCAGAAGTCTTCGAGGCTACATTTCCACGTAGACACATATTTGCGTTGTTGATGACCAAATCGCAGACCACTAATATGATTGAGATGTGTCTTTATCTTTCCCCATTGCATTGGGATTGTGAAAATAAAAGATTGCGAGCGGTCTGGAATAGTCTTCGCCCCAAACCGACCTTCTGGACGTTGCTCATTGTCTGCTTAAGGACCCCTGAACCTAGTTCATGGTGGATTAGTCTAGATATTGGGATTTGTAGGTATGCCTGTCAATTAGAGCATCAGACTCGAGTATTTTGTTGTCTAATGTGGTTGTGAACTGTCTCTAGAACTCACTATCGCCATCTTTCAAGGACGTCTGCTACAAGTGGGCTTGGGGACATGAGCAAGATTGTTGAGTTGGACAGGGCTCAGCACTTGCACACTTCCCAGGACCATGTATAAACGGACTCCCTGGAAGTTTGCGGAAGTCTACTCTCACCTAGTTGTTGCACCTTTTTCAAGGCGTTTTAGTATAGAAATGGAGATTTGTAGTTAAGCGTGTCAACTCCTCCAGAGGGCGCTGTTCGTGAAGCCTGGATAGCTCAGTCGGTAGAGCATCAGACTTTTAATCTGAGGGTCCAGGGTTCAAGTCCCTGTTCAGGCGAGTAGTTTGTTGTATAATATGGTTGTGAAGTGTCCTGTTGCACTTGCAGGCATCAATGTTCATGGTGACTTGCATGTATGTGGAGCTGAGTGGCCACATTATGTATGTTACCCTCAGAAGTCTTCGAGGCTACATTTCCACGTAGACACATATTTGCGTTGTTGATGACCAAATCGCAGACCACTAATATGATTGACATGTGTCTTTATCTTTTCCCATTGCATTGGGATTGTGAAAATAAAAGATTGCGAGCAGTCTGGAATAGTCTTCGCCCCAAACCGACCTTCTGGACGTTGCTCATTGTCTGCTTAAGGACCCCTGAACCTAGTTCATGGTGGATTAGTCTAGATATTGGGATTTGTAGGTATGCCTGTCAATTAGAGCATCAGACTCGAGTACTTTGTTGTCTAATGTGGTTGTGAACTGTCTCTAGAACTCACTATCGCCATCTTTCAAGGACGTCTGCTACAAGTGGGCTTGGGGACATGAGCAAGATTGTTGAGTTGGACAGGGCTCAGCACTTGCACACTTCCCAGGACCATGTGTAAACGGACTCCCTGGAAGTTTGCGGAAGTCTACTCTCACCTAGTTGTTGCACCTTTTTCAAGGCGTTTTAGTATAGAATTGGAGATTTGTAGTTAAGGGTGTCAACTCCTCCAGAGGGCGCTGTTCGTGAAGCCTGGATAGCTCAGTCGGTAGAGCATCAGACTTTTAATCTGAGGGTCCAGGGTTCAAGTCCCTGTTCAGGCGAGTAGTTTGTTGTATAATATGGTTGTGAAGTCTCCTGTTGCCCTTGTAGTCATCACCTTTCATGTTGACCAAATTGCAAACCAGAAATATAATTGTCGAATGTGGTTGTGAACTGTCTTACATTTGCTTATTGTCTGCTTAAGGACAGTATATTTCTCCTTTTAATTTCCTTGCTTATTTTTTCTAATGTATTTCACCCTCAGTTATGACTCCAACATGGACGACAGCAGAGATAACAAGAAGAACCGTTTCTCAAACACAATGGCCTTCATGGAGGAGTATCTCAACAATGTTCTGAATGAAGAGTTGCCCTTCCACAATGAGGAGAAAAACAAACTCACCTACGAGGTCTGTCCCTAATCTTCTACTTTTTTTGCAACTTTTCCTGTCTTTCAGTGTTCTTCCTTTCTCATTTGATCACATTGTTTTTCCTTTTCTTTCTCCAGGTGGTGAGTTTGGCCAGACATTTAATCTACTTTGGTTTCTACAGTTTCTTCGAGCTTCTCAGACTCACCAGAACCCTGTTGGGCATCATCGACTGTAGACCCAATCCTGGATACACCGGGCTCTTATTCCATGATGATCTATCAGGTACTTTTTTCTGGTTACTTTCACGTAAAATTACAAATACAGTTCCATGACTTTGATCAGTCTTAATGACTATTAAATCTTCTGTCCGCCTTGTTTTTTTACTGTGTTTCGATCAGTAACTTACTGCTGTGCTGAGATTTTGGTTGAAGACTTTAATTATTAATGATTGGGCTATCACTGCTTAAAGGGGCCATGATTGTTGCATTATCAGTTCTGGACAGTTTAAAAAATTGCCAAATGGAGACTTCCTTCTTCGGATGTCAGACCAAAATGCCTCTGGATGCAATTGGACAGATTGCATCCAGAGGATCCAATCAGAGCAGGGAAATGTGTGATATAGCGTGGTTTGTTAATTAACCTTATCAAAGTCGGAAGTACAACAAACATACTTATCAACAAAAGCTTTAAGTGCAATTGTTTATTCTCCTTTTAGAGAAAATATCGTCCAGATCATTTAATACTGACAGAAACAGTTCCACATCAGCGGCAGCCATCTTGGTTGTTTACAAAAATGCCTCACAGGCCAATAAGGTTGCGCTCCTCTGTAAAAACCTGCCCCATATAAGTTTCCACGTTGTGTTAATTAAGTGATGGACGCTGTTTTCTTTTCAAGTCTAATGCTGTATGGTAATGATAATGACTGTTTGCTATTTTCTTTTCAGGGAAGAATGTGAAGCGCTCCATACATGGGGTGGGTCAGATGATGTCCACCATGGTCCTCAACAGGAAGCTGTCAATATTTGGAGGTCCAGGAGCCAGAGGGACGGAGCTGGGGCCAGGACTTGTGCTTGAAGGACAGAGAGGCAGTAAAGATAGTATAGACAAGATGGACCTGACAGTGATGGACACCAAGCTGAAGATACTGGAGATATTACAGGTAACAAATATAACACAAATATATACTCAGTGGCCACTTCATTAGGTAAAGTTATTCAAGCCTATATCTTTTAGCATTGAGGTCACAGTTAGTGATGGCAAACAATTTAATGCTTCTCCCTGCCTGTGGCCATTGTCTGCACTTCATATCAGCGGCTAATGGGCTAACAAGGCTACAGTCAGCTACTACACTGCAAGTACACTGCAACTCAGTATACGCCTGTTATCATCATAAATGTGTAGGTGAAGCAAATATTTCCTCCTAAGAAAACCAGTCATTCGCTAAATTCTACAAACTGTGAAAACTCAATTTTAAATTTCATTTCAGTGGTACCACGCTGTTTTGTTTTGATTTCTTCAAATTGTGTTATGCTAATTAAATAAAGTTAGCTCATAAGCTAAAACTAATGCTAGGTCACATTCTAGCTAACTAACGCTATTGAGATTACCGTAAAACTTAATAATAGCCCGGGCCTTTATTTGCTTAAATCACTGAACTCCCCCTGCCTTTATTTGGGACAGGCGTCTATTTGGGACAGGCCTTTAATTCCTTTAGCACAAAACTAAACAAGACTGTAACTGCTGCATCTCATGAGTTTTTGTTCAACTAACAAGATGATTATGATGTTTCAGAGGTTTTTTTTCCTTCTCTCTTGTTTACCGTGTTACTGGTAATTCAGAACGAATTAACGTTATTATTATTAACTTTTGCTGTTGATCGTTTTTTGTAAAATATAGTGAACAATTGAATTGTGGAGAATCTATAACTGATCTAACGATGTCCATTATGTACATACTGACAGAAGTTTAAACATTTATATTCGTGTAGGAGATTGAGACAACTTAAAACTCACTCAAGCAGGCGACCTGGTGGGTTTTAAGAGGTTTTATACATCGAGATAATTTCTATAAAATCCAGGCCTCTATTGGAGACCTGCGTTTATTTGTCAAAACGTGTATCCACACCAGGCTTTTAAAGGAGACCTGCGTCTATTAGGGACCCTGCTTTTATTGGAAGTTTTACGGTAGATTAGAATTTTTGATGCTAGCAAGGGAGCCCGCTAGCTAACTACCGTCAGCTTGCAAGTGAGAGTTATGGTAAAAACTGTAGAATTTGAATTTCTACATGATTAATGTGCTAGTTTCTAGTTAGCTACCAGGCTAACATTTGTTTTCTACCTTAGTAATGTCTCCATTGTTGATAATATAAACTAATACATTTGCTAGCATGCTATATTAAGATTATTCACCTTGTTACTATACTAGCTCCTTGATTGAAAGCTTTATTTCATACATTATGCTGATTGCTATAATGTCTAAACTATGATTCACTGTGTGGATCTGAAAACTGATACTGTTAATGGATGGATGTTTAATTATTATTATTTTAATGTGAAACAGTTTCTTGTATTCATGCTAACTCTGCTCCTCATCAGTTCATCCTGAACGTTCGTCTGGACTACCGCATCTCCTTCCTGCTGTCTGTGTTTAAGAAGGAGTTTGTGGACGTTTATCCGATGGCTGACGCTGACGCGACCACCAACATGGAGCATGCAGGTACAAACACACAGAGCCAATGGAAACACACACCTCTCAGTCTGGTTTTATGAGTTGTATCACTCAAAAGTTTTTTTTTACTGTAGAGGATTACGGCTTCGTAAAAATTTTATTTTAGTTCTGAGTTTAAAGGAAAAAGATCATCCTGAGGTTAAACTCATAACTCAAATAAAATGTTCACGTGTCTGTAATCCTTTTCAGGAGTTTTTAATTCAACACACATAAATTGAATATAAATGTGTAACAATTTGCTGTTGAGTTCAATTGTCCCTCCTTCCTTTAGCCTGTGTTTTGAGTTTTAAATAATTTCCATTTATGCCGTTTTTGGGCGGTTATATTCCATCATTGGTTTTATATGCAGAAAAGTTCAACGATACTTTTACCTGATAAGATAAAGGACTCTTTTCCAGAATATAATTACTATCTTATTATATTGTATTTTTAAAATGTATATCTACGTGGTAAAGGTGTGTGTTGTTACTTCTCTCAATGCTTCCAGATGTCCCAGTCAGCAGGGAAACAACAGGTAGAACCCTCTAAAATAATAATAGAAAACTCTAAAATATTTCATTTTAGAGTGATAACTTGAGAAACCTCGAGGCAGTGTTTATGATACATGTTTTATTTCCATTGAACACTTATTGATAAAGGTATTGTGTTCTTGCAGCCTGCAACAGTTGTCTAAGTCTGCTGTTTGTATTTATTGCTGTAATGTTCTTATGCTGCCTTCTTGGTCAGATCTCTTTGGAAAAAGAGAGTTTAATCTCAACGATACTAAAGGACGCTTTTCCAGAATATAAATACTATCTGATATTTTAATAATGTACATGTTTGTAGTAAAGGTGTGAGTTGTTACTTCTCTCAATGCTTCCAGACGTCCCAGTCAACGGGGAAACAACAGGTAGAACCTGGAAAACTCTAAAATATTTCATTTTAGAGTGATAACTTGAGAAAGCTCGAGGCAGTGTTTATTTTACATGTTTTATATCCCTTTTTCCATTGAATACTTATTGATATAAACATTTTAAAGTTATCTGAATGTGCTCCCTGTGTTTGCTATCACTGCAACCAGTGTGTGTGTATGTGAATAACCCCCAAAACTCAGAATTCTGACTTAAAAAAAAAAATTAACTCAGAATTTGCTGCTAAATTTACTTGTATAATACTGTACAATCTTACAAATTGTACCTGATGTATCATAACTGGATACTGTCAGCATTATTTTGTTGTATTTTAAATAGGTATTGTGTTCTTGCAGTGTGCGACAGTTGTTGCCCTCTTGGTCACATCTCTATGGAAAACAATACTAAAGGACCTTTCCAAAAAATAAATACTATCTGGTATTTTAAAAATTTACATGTGGGTGGTAAAGGTGTGATTTGTTACTTCTCTCAATGCTTCCAGACGTCCCTGTCAACGGGGAAACAACAGGTAGAACCTGGAAAACTGAAAAAAATATTTCATTTTAGAGTGATAACTTGAGAAATCTGATAGCAGTGTTTACACTACATGTTTTATTTTCCCCATTTTCCATTTAATATTTGTTAATATATACATTTCAAAGTGATCCAAATGTGCTTGCTGTCACTGCAACAAGTGTGTGTGTACGTGAATCTCAAACCAATTGAAATTTAGTTGTATAATACTGTACAATCTTACAAATCTGTCTGCATTCTTTTATTGTATTTTAACTAGGTACTGTGTTCTTGCAGTGTGTGACAGTTGTCTTAGTCTGCTGTTTGTATTTATTGCTGTAATGTTCTTGTGCTGTCCTCATGGTCAGATCTCTTTGAAAAAAGAGAGTTTAATCTCAACGATACTAAAGGACCCTTTTCCAGAATATAAATACTATCTGATATTTTAAAAATGTACATGTAGGTATTAAAAGTGTGGGCTGTTACTTCTCTCAATGCCTCCAGATGTCCCCGTCAACGGGGAAACGACAGGTAGAACCTGAAAAACTCTAAAATATTTCATTTTAGACTGGTAACTTAAAACCTTGAGGCAGTGTTTATGCTACATGTTTTATTTCCATTGAATACTTATTGATATAAACATTTTAAAGTGATCTAAATGTGCTTCCTGTGTTTGCGATCACCGCAACCAGTGTGTGTGTAAGTGAATAATCCCGAAACTCAGAATTCTGACTTAAAAAAATGTAAACTCAGAATTTGCTGCTGAATTCAGTTGTATAATACTGTACAATCTTACTGTATAGCTCATTATCTAATTGTTGTTTTTATGTTCATTGTGTTAACTTTATTTTAGATTTAGGAAAATCGTACATGATGTATTATATCCAGATACTATCTGCACTCTTTTATTGCATTTTAGCTAGATATTATGTTCTTGCAGTGTGCGACAGTTGTCTTAGTCTGCTGTTTGTATTTATTGCTGTAGTGTTCAATGCTGCCCTCTTGGTCAGATCTCTATGGAAAAGAATACTAAAGGACCTTTCCAGAATATAAATACTATCTGATAACTTGAGAAATCTGATAGCCGTGTTTACACTACATATTGTATTTTCCCCATTTTCCATTTATTATTTGTTAATATATACATTTCAAAGTTATCCAAATGTGCTTGCTGTCACTGCAGCGTGTGTCTGTGTACGTGAATAATCTCAAAGCAAATGACCTTCCTGTAACTTCTGTGTTTGTCCCTCCTCAGCTGCCATCAACTTGCAGCACATTGGAGAGCAGGCAGAGGCTATGTTTGGAGTCGGGTATGTAATTCTGAACATGGACATGTTGCATATGTAAAGACATCTAAACATACATATTTATTCACAAGGTTTTACTCATAAATCACTACTGAACCATATTATAGTGTTCCCACCCGTCCTGGGAAATCTGGAAATTGATTCAAATGACAAGAAGCACATATATGTTGATGTTAGATATTGTGTCTGTGTGTGTGTGTGTGTGTGTGTGTGTGTGTGTGTGTGTGTGTGTGTGTGTGTGCATACAGTAAGGGGAACAGTATCCTGGAGGTGGATGATGAAGGCGGTCGTATGTTCCTACGGGTGCTGATCCACCTCACCATGCACCACTACCCTCCTCTGGTGTCTGGCGCCCTGCAGCTGCTCTTCAGACACTTCAGCCAGAGACAGGAAGTGCTGCACACCTTCAAACAGGTGCACACACACAGAATTAAAAGCATACACACTGTTAGGGTGAGAAATTACTCAACCGTAAGCCAAAAGCCAATATATTTTCCTAAAAGTCTGAATAATCAAACTAAAGTGCTTTACAATAAATCAAACATTAAGGATACACATTAATACGTAATATCAGTAATTATGTCTGTACATGATTCATACTGTCTGAAGGTAACATCGCTGTTGATTGCAATCTGTCTTTATCTGTATCCAGACTACATGCAAAATTGTAAAATTAAAAGATCGATGGAGAAGTCTGCACCCCAAATGGAATTTGTGGATGTTTGCACGTACTCTGCTTCAGGGCCCATGCACTTATTTCCTGGTGTATTTGTACAGAACTTGGGATTTTGAGTTAAACCTGTTATTTTCTCCAGAGGATGCCCTTTGTGAAGCCTAGATAGCTCAGTTGGTAGAGCATCAGCCTTTTAATCTGAGGGTCCAGGATTCAAGTCCCTGTTCAGGCAGTGTGTTTATGGTGCAATCTGCATCACATTTACATAAACTGAAGACACTGTATATTAAAAAATTCAGGCTGTACTCTAATACTCCTTTCCGATAAAGACTTTTGATTGACTTCTGTAGAGAATGTCAAGACAACCTCGGCACTGAGAGAATTCGACTAAACCAACCTTTGTTTATGGAAGTACAGTGACAAACTTAATGCCGTACAATTCAAGCCGTGGAACACTTGGAACACACTTCGATGACTGGGATGCATTTTTTCTGAAAGCTCAGATACATCTGTTTTTGTGCCTAATAATACAGAAATATTCAAAAACCAAACAAATATAGATATCAATGTTCACAGTGGAAAAAGAGTGAAACAAAATTGGTGAACCGGGCCTTAAGAAAGACAATAAAGAAATACTAAAATAAATACTCTAAATTGCACTTTTACTTTCTTTTTGTGTTACAAACTTTTTCTTACTTTGACAGTGATCAGAACATGGCTGCTTAGAGTAGATACATTTCCTGTATTCTAATTGCAACAGCACAGCATCCACACTGAAAGGTTGGCATAAAACTGAAAGTAGTAACATGATACAGACTTTGGACACAGGCCAGGTCTTTCGCCCTGGTTCCTTCAATAAAAAGCCAGCGAGATTTTGAATTGTTGCAGAAACCCAGCTCCATGGTGAACAACAATTTAGCAAGATAATCTTCACAAATGAACAGACTTTTATAATTTTTTTAATTAAGCAGATCTCCAGAGGTAAAGCGCTTACATTAGGTTATAAACGAACCACACCAAGGGTGCATTGACTTCAGCTTCACCATCACTAAACTTCCAACTTGTAATTAAGTCTTGTACTTAAAATCTACAAGTTGTAAAGTTTGAGTTAGAAAAGTTTGAAAGAGCGCAATATAAACACAAGGAAGTAAAGAAGGCGGGCAAGTGAGTAGATAAGTCTACCGAAAACCTCTGTAGTGTCATTTAGCCACTTTTTAGCAACCGCCTTTTTTAAAGAAATAACCTAAAAGCTTCAAGATTGATGTATTTTATGTCAGTAAATAAAAGGTAAAAGAGCTTAAGTGTGTGTAAACCGATAACAAACCTTATTTCACACATCTAACCAAAAACCCATTCAAAAAACTTCTTTGAGGAGAGGGAACCGGTGGTGCTAAAATGCAAACTTTCTGGTTTTAGGACTCATTCCTGCAGCACTCTATATCAGGATCACTTCTCTTGTGAAGCCTTTATCCAGTTTATGTAAAGTGTGTTGTTTATTTAGGTCTTATTCAATATGATTCTGATTCTGAACAGTCATATTATTTGAATGAGAAATTGAGCTAAATAGATTTAGGCTGCCATAAATAGTTATTTCAGAAAAAACAAGGTATTTGGTTTTGGACGCCCTAGTGTCAGCTAATTTTTGAGCGTTATGACTACAACTGCTGTAGGTTTGGGGCTTGATAACATTTGATTGAATCTGCTCATCAATTTTGAATAATTTTGAATGAAGACTCACCAACCCACTGTTAGCAGGACACTCATGGTTTACTTAGGTTAATCCTCCAAATGTTTCGCTGTGTGTCTGCAGGTCCAGTTGCTGATCTCAGCTCAGGACGTGGAGAACTACAAGCTGATCAAGGCAGATCTGGATCGCCTCCGAACATTGGTGGAGAAATCTGAACTGTGGGTGGAGAAGAAGAGCTCGGGTGGAGGGGATGGGAAGAAAGACAAGAAAGACAAGAAGGAGAAAGGAGAGGTGAGGAGCCAAAATTAGATTATTTTCATATTAAGCATTAATATTGAAAAGGTAAAATAACTGTTTAATGTACGTGGAGTTTGAGGAGCTTGTGGAGATTCCCAAGATGTGGTTAGAAAATAAGTTCAGAAGTCAAAACATCCTGTATTTAGGCAGCAAAACAATTTTAAACCAATGAAAATGAAGCTTTACAAGCCTTAATTAAGGAGTCAAACAGAGTTGACATTTAGGAATTTATTCCCTTTCTTATAGCCACCTTCTTTTTTTTCTCCATACCCTGATGAACGCTTGTGTAGGCTAAAAAATGCTGGTTTTCTCGGATGACTTAGTCATCTAATTAACACATTTGTATTCACCCAAACATGAAAATGTTTCTGTTCCTGCCACAATTAACATTACTTGGTCATATCAAGATTCTTAAAATTGGACACATAATAAAACGTTTTTTGAAGTTATTAGTTCAAGGAAAAAAGAAGATGAGAAGATGGTGAATAGTGCAGAATCGTCAGCATACAGCTTTAGAGTGAAAGAGTTCATATGGGGTGATAAGGTCAATGATTATGGCCTAACTCCCAAAGACTTCCATTCTTTTCCAGAACTAGGTGTGTATTTCTTGTGTAGATGGCTGAGTGACATTTCAAGCATGTCTAAATAACAATATGAGAACTGTTTATAATATCTAACAAACAAACTAAAGCCACTACTACACCAGCACAAGAACCACTGTCTTGGTAGAAGATTAACAATTATTAATAATCAGAATATTACTCATGAAACTAAACTACTAAACGGCGACTAAAACTAACTTTTTGAACTTGTTTGTACTGTTGAAATGCTGGTGTTGGGCTTGCTGGTGTCTCAGGTGCAACTACATTGTCTTGGTTCAGATTTGGCTTGGAACTTTTGATGCATGTCACGGCTCTCTCTCTCTCTCTCTCCGTTTATTGTTTCTTTCCCATGTGAAATAAAGCTTGTCATACATGTTATACACACTTATACTGCATATAAAACAATTAAAACAACAAACAAACAGTTGGGTTCTGGCAAACGCTAACCTGATAATCAGACTGAACTGCCATTTTATTTGACTATATGATTCAGTCTAGGATTGTGTTCAGTGACGTATCCGTTGACGTAGCGGTTGCTAAGAACAGTTGACTTAATGTTTTCCACAAACATTAGGAAGGAGGAAAGGAAGCTATTTTGAATGAAGATGACTTCCCAAACTGTAGTTTTTTAAGTAACCTCAAATGTGTTTAGTTAAAATTTAGTCAAATAACTTTCTGTGTAGCTACCAGGGTCCACATGACGTACATTACTTCATTTGTCCATGTCTGTGACGCTCTGCTGAAATCAATGTGCAAAATTGACCATTACGTTTATTTATTTATTGTAACACGCTACTTACTTTTACCTTATTAATTTATTAGTTTGATTGAAGTGTGTATAATGTAGTACCATACCCAGAGAGAACTGCATATGCTGTCTTACCCTCTGCATCCTGCAGGGGGCATCAGAGGACATGACACCCAAGAAGGAGAAACTGGAGAAGGGCAACGAGAACTACCAGAACGTCAAAGAGGTGAGAACTCTCATCAGTTTGTTTCCCTTCAGGTAGCATTCTGATTTTGTTTATTTTTCCATCTCAGCTCTGCTGTATCTGCAGTGCGCTTCCCAGAAATCACCTGTCAATCAATCAATGTGGGCGGGGCTGTGATGTCTTTTATTTTATTTATGTGGTGCTCTTGTCTTTGTCTCTTCAGCAATGTTGGCTTTCACTGCTCAGCATAATTTCATTTGTTTTATCTTGATACTCTGAATAACATCATCTGCCAAATGGAAATAAAGATGAAAATTAAAGGATAGGATCAAATTTCATGCCTTCACAGTATGTACACACTGAAGGAGTTATCAGTGTGTGCAATCATTCCTTGTGCTTATACTGGCTCTGAAGCAATCACGTTTACACTGTGAGAGACAAAAGGACACAATCCACAGTCCTCCTTTTCTATCAAATTACACTCTAAAGTTGAGCCAATCAAAATTATTGTTGCCTCTTGTTGTGTCTGATTTGGCTTCAAAGTGTTCAGTTTGCCATTGTGTCCAATCTCCAAGTCCAGATTGTCTTGTATTTCCTTTATCTTTTGAAGGGAAAAATAAAAATGTCTGTGTTGAATCATAAGGCTTGCCAGCATATCATGGAAACTGCCAACATTGTTTATCAAAAGTGATTTTCATACCATCCATTTTTATAACCAAATCAACTAAATACACCAGACTAACGCCAAACTGGACACTTCAAAACGGTACTCACCAAACTGATGGGTGACATCACAATAGGTTCACAGTTGCTTGGAGAATGAAAACCATGTTACAGACGCGCAATCACAGAGCCACCCCTGGTGGAATCAAGGTGTAAATGCTCTCAACTCTTAAAGCAGGCTGTTCTGTGATGGTACAAAATCGTCTGTCTTTTAGTCTTATGTCTTTAACACATCCTCAGGTTGCCGTCTTGCCAGAAAAGATAAAAAAGACTCATTCAGACAATACATAACCTATGTGGCATCAAAAGTAACAGTAAACACAAGTTACGATATGCCAAAATGCCATTTTGATCAAACAGTTCAAATTTTTTTATTCAATTATTTTAAAACCTTTTATGCTTAAATGGTGTTCTATAATGTGTTAAAATGTTGTGGATTCAGACCTTTAACTGAAATACAATAAAACGAGTTTTTGAAAATATATTATTCCTCTCTCTTTGTTTTTAAAATATGTCATTTTGTTTGAAGTCATATTGGTTTTCTCACATTTTAAATAACGTTTGGATACTTTTATTTTAACTTTGTACAATAACTTTATACTAAATCTATCAACCCTCTGACTTCTGGAGTATTGAATAAAGACAGGATTTATTCATTCTTTATGAGTAGTTTTTTTGTATGTCTTATTTCTGTGCTGCGTTTTTCAAAAAAAAATACCTTGTGCAGACTCAACAATCAACATTGTGGCACCAGATCAGAAGTCAGTCAGTTAGAGGAGATTATAAGAGGAGAAACACACCGTTTTGTCTCTTTTCAAGGGACAAAATACACAAGTAAGAGACACCTGAAAGGCTCTCAGTGGAATTTGAAGACGTGCGGATCACAAAGCCAAACCGCATCGCAGATAAAACGTTATAAAGCCGTACCCGGTGGAATTTCAGGCTTAGACAGAGTTGCTTTAAAATAATTAAGATGTGGATTCTCGCATCACTCCCAAATGTTATTTTACATCACCTATCTTAAGTTTGCTCTGTGATTACTGTTAAACCAGTTCTTTACACTGTAATTTACTACTGCCCTTTCTTTGTATCATCAGCAAAATACATTTTAACATTTTGGAAACCCGACAAATATGATTTAAAATATGTAAAAAACGAAACTCTGAGCCATGGGGAACCCCACAAGTAACATTCAGTGAATATTTGAATTGATTTTTATCCTCCTGATACCTGTTGCTACCTACATGTATCTCCACACAGTAAGTAATGTATGGGCAGATTTTTAATAATTAATAATGATGAAATCTTATATTCTATATATATATATACGTTTTAGCATTGCAATAGACATATATGTATGAATTAATTCACTTTTTATTGCTTTTTAAAATAGAAGATTTAAACAGAACAAAGACATCAGAGACAGAAATAATAAAATAATATGATAATAAATAATTTATTAAAAAAATACATAAATATAAACACAGGGTAAGCTTTGGCTTATTATGTTGCTATCACTCACGTATCATTGTGACAATAATGTACATTGTAAATATAATTATCACTGCTGAGTGACAACCAGATCTTTTATATTTATCTTTATATCAGTTTAACACAAACATTATTTCAGTTTCACCATCATTTATCACGTTTAATTTGTCCATTGGGAAGTTAAGTGGCGAGTAAAATATACTCATGTTAGCCAGTATGCTCTTTCCTTGAGGGACAATTAATGTTAAGAATAGATTAATTAAACAGCTTTCATCAACACATCACAATCAGAGGAGTGATTTTCTTAACTTTATTTAACTCTCTATCACTCCTCTCTTCTCCTTTGTAGATCCTGGAGAGGTTGAATAAGATGTGCAGCACTGGTGTTTGGAAGAAGCAGCAGAGGTTGTTGAAGAACATGGGAGCTCACAAAGTCATGCTGGACCTGCTGCAGGTGTCCTACGACCAGGTGAGACTGGACACCGCCAAAATAAAAGCATTCTAACAGATTCTCTTTGTACAAAAGCTCCTGACCCTTTCGGACTCTGGTCTGTTAACTGGACTTTGAAAAGAGACGTTGAGCTCAGCTTCATTTGTGTCTCTCGCTCTCTCTCTCTCTCTCTCTCTCTCTCTCTCTCTCTCTCTCTCTGTCTGTCTCTCTCTCTCTCTCTGTCTGTCTGTTTACAGAACGATGTGAAGATGCAGGAGATCATCAGGTACACTCACCTGTTCCTACAGAAGTTCTGTACGGGGAACCAGGAGAACCAGGCTCTGCTGCACAAGAACCTCAGTCTCTTCCTCAACCCCGGGGTACGCTGCTTCCATAACTCATCAATCTGCAGAAAAATATTATTTTGTTTCAGTTAATCATTGCTTACACACACACACACACACACACACATACACACAGACACACACACACACACACACACACACACACACACACACACTAGCGCCTCCCACAGGCTGCAGTGTTCATTAGAGACACAACAGTGTTTGACAAACAACATCCTGATGATTTATTTATTCTTACAGTCTCACCAACAGTGGAACTAACGATGTAAAGGTCATGGAGTCATTAAGATCTAAAGGGTTCATCCTCTGGGGAGCAGGAATATAAACGTCCCACTGCTTCCCCCTCTATTTGTGACATTTCAGGAGCTAAATAACTGTTTCATTCATAAAACATCAGAACAGATGTTGCATTTTGACCTTTCCCTCTTCCGTGTGCAGCTGCTGGAGGCAGAGACAGTGCAGCACATCTTCAGTAACAACTACCAGCTGTGCAGCGAGATCTCCGAGAGCGTCCTGCAGCACTTCATCCACTGTCTGGCCACGCACGGCCGCCACGTTCAGTACCTCAACTTCCTCCACACCATCATCAAGGCCGAGGGCAAGTACGTCAAGAAGTGTCAGGACATGATCATGACGGAGGTGAGGACGAGGACAAGACGCGTCACTTTTTCTCAGAATGCTTCAGGATGTCGATGTAACACTGTTGTCTCCCTGCAGTTAACCAACTCCGGCGAGGACGTTGTCGTCTTTTACAATGACAAGGCCTCCTTCAACGTCATGCTGGGGCTGATGGCGGAGAGCAGGGAGGGGGTCGGCGAGAACAGCCCGCTCAGGTAACCATGGCAACTCTGTACCCTCAGTGAAAATTAGCGGTGGAAGATGCATTCAGATACTTAAAGGTTATATATGCTAAATTCCCCTGCCACAGTGGGTGCTACGTCCCACCAGACTCCACTGACAAAACTAGTAATTTTAGATAGTAGATAAAACACACTTCAAAATGGACAGAATCAAACTAAAACCCGTAATTCACACAGATATAAAAGTATTTGTGAAAGCATAAAATGATGTTAATCCTTGTCAAAGTTTGGTTTGGTGGAAATAAATCCTTAACTTTCAGTCGCTCTACTCAGCTGCAACTCACATCTGAAATTCACTTAAATGTGTAGATATGTATTAACAGTCAACATAAATTAGATAGATAGATAGCTAGATAGCTAGATAGATAGATAGATAGATAGATAGATAGATAGATAGATAGATAGATAGATAGATACTTTATTCATCCCCAAGGGGAAATTCACAATTGAATATTTAAGTAAGTTATTGACTTTGTTCCTTATGTTCAAACAGCAAAACAAGTTTTTTTTCTGTCACTTCTCAGTTCCAGAGATCTTTGTACATCCTGCTGTTTGTTGGATTTTTTTTTACAGGTTGTAGACAATCAGTGAGCTCGTGTGTTATCTCTAGAGTTTGAATGTTGATTCTTTCCGTCTGCAGGTATCACATCTCTCTGGTGGAGCTGCTGGCAGCCTGTGCTGAGGGGAAGAACGTTTACACTGAGATCAAATGTACCTCGCTGCTGCCTCTGGAGGACGTAGTGAGAGTGGTGACACATGAGGACTGCATCACCGAGGTACTGACTGCGTGTGTGTCCTCACAATTAATTATTAAAGTCCAGTCCATGTCAAACAATGTACAAAAACTAAATTTCTTTGTATTTTTATACTTTTATACTTCAGCATGAACTAACTAATTTCAACCAATAATATCACGTCATTCACCCGTCAATCCTCAACTTAGGGAGGTGATTTATGGAGTTTCCAGATGGACTTGTTGCTAAAAGAACTGTAATGTTAAATGCCGTTAACTAGTTAGCTCGTAAAATTACCTACTGCAGCTTTAATCTAATGACTTTTCCTGTCGAAAATGGCCACAACTAAAGCTATAAACTGTCTCTCTGTCTGTCTTTGTCTCTGTCTGTATGTCTGTCCGTGTGTCTCCAGGTGAAGGTGGCCTATGTGAACTTTGTCAATCACTGCTACGTGGACACAGAGGTTGAGATGAAGGAAATCTACACGTCGAACCACATCTGGAAGCTGTTTGAAGACTTCACCGTGGACATGGCCAGGGTAACAGCTCTGACGGAGACGCAGTCATTATACACAGAGACAAAGACTGACTGAGAAACGCAGTAATCAGTTATTGATTGATCACTTTCACTCATTAAATGTGCTCACACACAGTTTTCATGTGTTTGTGTGATTTCTTTGTTGTTCGTCTGCAGGTTTGTAACAAACGAGAGAAGCGTCTCTCCGATCCCATCCTGGAGAAATACATCATCAACGTGGTCTTTGACACCATCCACGCCTTCTTCAGCTCCCCCTTCTCCGAGAACAGCACCTCTCTGCAGGTCAGGACCATGATGCACTCTGGCGGCGCCGCGTTTGTCTCACAGTGTGACTCAATGTTGGGCAAATGTTGGGGTTCGTAAGAGGGAAACACTAAGTCACAAGTTCTTAAATTAAAAATATTAATTATTTACAGCATGTTTTTATTTATTTATATGAATGTAGGAAATAATAATAATAGTATTTTTATAGCGCTTCTTTAAAAAACAAAAAATAGCAGCAATAAAAATAGATTAAAAACATAAAACATAGCAGTTTGTGCTGAAATAAAGTGAAATAAAGTAATAAATAATGGAAAATAAAATAAATATTACACTGGAAATATTGTGTAAAATTGTGGATTTAAAAGAGGAAACAGATAATAAATAACACTTTATAATGATTATAATGTATTTTAGAGAGGGTCTTTACTGCAGTCACCCACCAGTGGGAGATAGAGAGGGTTTGGCTGCACTTTTGGAGAGCTGTCATATCGTCCATCTTTCGGTGAAGGTGGAGCAGGAAGATCACCTGCAGGAGTTTTATTTATTTACCCATCAGGCCTTTCTGTTTCTGTCAGACTCATTACACCATCGTGACTCAGCTGCTTCAGTCGTCTGTCCGGCTGTTGGACTGTCCCTGGCTGCAGCAGCAGCACCGAGGACAGGTGGAGACCTGCATCAGGACGCTCGCCATGACAGGTCTCACACATACACACACACATACACAAACACAATGTCCTGAAAGTAACTGAGTACTGAGGTAGTTGTACTTTAAATCTTGTGCAACTTTCTACTTCTACTCCATTAATGAAAGTCCCTCCTCCAGTCAGAACTCAGTGTTTCTTCTTTTATACGCAGTAATTGGTAAAAGTAATTCAGTTACTTTCAGAAAAGTAACTAGTAACTAACGAATTAGTTATTTAGTAACTTACCACCACTGATTGTTATGTAGCAAATGAAACCTCCCAGAGATTGACACTGACGCATGTTTCTCTGTAGCTAAGAGTCGTTCGATCACTCTTCCTCTGGACCTGGAGTCTCAGATCAGCTCCATGTTGTCCACATCTGCTCTCAACTCTCTGTCCCGCTCCAACCCCAACTACAAGTCCTTGTCCCGCTCCTCCAGACCCATCGCTCCCAGCAACCCCTGGGACTACAAGAACATCATAGAGAAACTGCAGGTAGGCAATCAGTGTGAAAACAAGCTCAGGAACAAACACACAGGTTTAACATAAAACTGATAACAGTTGCTGGCACAGACCTGAATATGACAGATGAGACCATAAAATCTGTTTTTCGGGAGTGAATCTCACATGTGGCAGCTATAATTTTTAGTGAAATGTGCATGTTACAGGACATCATCAACACTCTGGAGGAGCGCCTAAAGCCGCTGGTGAACGCGGAGCTGTCGGTGCTGGTGGACGTCCTCCACCAACCGGAGCTCCTGTTCCTGGAGGGAACCGATGCCCGACAGCGCTGTGAGTCCGGAGGATTCATCTCCAAGTAGGTTCAAAATCTCCCGCGGTACTGACTCACTGACAGGGGGTGAAAATATATATGTGATATATGTGTGTGTGTTTGTGTTTAGGCTGATCCAGCACACCAAAGCTCTGATGTCTTCAGAGGAGAAGTTGTGTATCAAAGTCCTGAGGACTCTGCAGGAGATGCTGATCAGGACTCTGGACTTTGATGAAAAGGTCAGTTAAACAATAATAATAACTGACAGACAATAAAAAAATATCACCAGAGCAACTTTTACCTTTGAAACACATTTTTAACACATTTGAAATATTTCTGTTGCTGTTTAGTTCAGTGTTAGTTCAGGTTTTATAAGGTACCAAACAGCAAAATGTATTTTGACCACTTAAACAAATCAGTTCAAGTGTATATTTAGAATATTCTATATTCTGTATAATATAGAATAATTTACCTCACCATCAGACAGCCCTTTTCAACTGGAAACTGAAGTGTGTGTGTCGATCTTTAACCTCACCAACTCCAATGACAAAAACAATGATTTTACTCTGCAGAACATGGAAGGTGCTGGTTCACCGCTGCCTCGATCGCTTCATTTATTTGTGTTATTGTGTGAATTTGGTTGTTAGTTAGGATCTAAACAGACTTAGTTGCTGTGGATCGAGGCAGCAGACCAGCAACTCCTGTATTCTGTGAGGTAAAATTACTGTTTTTGTCAATGGAGTCTGGTGGCTTTGAAGAGAGTGTAGATCAATATAAACCCACCATAAAGAGCTGTCTGATGGCAAAGTAAAGCATCAAAAATATTACTTAACTACTGACTACTATTAGAATATACTACATATAGCTTACACATAAACTGATAAATATTTCCCACCACCCAATCTTACCTTTTATTAATTAAAGACATATTTTATATACAAACTTTGTGTATTATGACTTGCAGAGAAAAATCCACTTCAATGTTAAGCAAGATTGTGTCTAATATAAGCATTTGAAAAAACTTCATTTATTTTACTTTTCTTACATATAAAAGAAAAAGACACATATTTTCTGTCTCATTCTCTAAAGAGAAATAATAAAATATTAGCTTTAAAACGAGAGCTGACGGCGGGTTAAAGTGTCTTTGGTGTTGTTTCAGGGAATCGCGCTGCGGAAGGTTTTGCTGCAGAACTACTTGTTTCCAAACAAGAAGAACAACCCGAAGAATGACCTGGCTGAGCTCGGAGCTGCAGGTACGCTGCGTCACGCTAACTTTATTTTATTAATTCACAGTTTCAACCGACACATTCATGAGATGTTGTGAAGTGAAACAGCGACATCTGCTGTCAGACTGCGAAACAACAGCCAGACAGAGAGCGAGAGAGAGAGTGACAGGTGTCAGTCATCCCACTCATTGATTACCTGTCTGTCTGCTGAAGGGAAATTACATCACAGACAGGAAGAGAATGCACAGTAGGAAGGCTGTGTGTTTGGTAAAAGGTCTAAAGGTTTGATGAAATCTGGAGATGAAGATCAGCCGGTGAGGATCTGAAGGTTCTGACGAAATGCAGTTTAATCTCAGTTTTAACAGGTAGTCCGGATTTGTGGTGCAGGCCTCACATCAAATATATTCTTCAGATAAATAATGAGCTCTGATGGAAGAGTTTGACCCACAGTGAGCAGATAAATGAAAACTAACATTTATCTGTTTCTGTGTCTGTTGCAGTGTAAAATCAATAAGAGAAGACATTCATATTTATTAATGTATCAGAGCCTGTTAAGATTACACAGATTATGTGGGGTACCTGCTCATGTTGGTATAAAAGGGGATGAAGGAGCAGATAAAATGGCCAAAAGCGCAACAAATAAGAAGTTGCCAGCATTTTGGTCATATTCACAAATTTTTCACACAGACTATTATTATTGTTCTATAGATAACAGTGAATACATCAAAGAGCAGAACCCGTATTTTTATACACATTTTTTTACTCTAATAGTGAAAACACAGATTGCCTAAGTATCTCAGTGGCTGGGAAGCGTCTTAAATGACAGAAAATCTTGTTACGAGCTGTTCACACCACTTGCAGAGAACTCTTGGCAGTCACACGGGAACCCTGATTAAGTGAATTCCTTGTGTGTGTCAGGTGGGGAGCAGGAGCGGGACTGGGCAGCGGTGGCGGCGGTTCAGTGTCGTCTGGACCGAGAAGGAGGAACAAAGCTGTTCACCGATCTGGTGATGAGCACCAAGAACGACAAGATCTTCCAGGAGAGCATCCAGATGGCCATCTGTCTGCTGGAGGGAGGGAACACGGAGATACAGGTGAGTCCAGCAGACCAGCATCAGTTTGATCCGGTCTCTAGTCTGTGGATTATGACTACCCTAGAGCTCACAATGAAATGGTTACTATGGGGACGAAAATCCTCACATTTGACTCCGATTGGGCTCATTGAATCCACAATAGTCTCAGCTTTCCATTTCTGCCTGTGTATACCTATAAAACACTGTTTAGAACTCCTTCTACAAACTGATGATGGGCGACAACAAGTCAGAGAAGTTCTTCAAGGTTCTTCACGACCGGATGAAAGAAGCCCAGACAGACATTAAAGCTACGGTGTCGGTTAACGTCGGAGAGATGACGCACAAGGCCAACGAGAAGGAGCTGGAGACCGGTGAGATTAATGTTTCATTATTTCCGTCTCTTTTTAGATATTTGATGTTTTTTAAGTTTAGAGATCAGAGGTGAGAACTTCTGTTTCCCCCGTCTGTAAAGGCGGCTCTACAGCGCTAGTACTTCCTGGTACAGCAAGTCACCCGTTGTTGGTCCAGGGCCAGGCCATCGCCCCGGTGCCGGGTGCCGCAGCCCTGCCGGTCCAACCGGTAGCGGAGCAGAGAGAGGTGGAGACAGAGATGGGACCAGCTGTGACCATCATGAAGCCGATCCTGAGGTTCCTGCAGCTGCTGTGTGAGAACCACAACCACGACCTGCAGGTCAGTTCAACCGGCTGGTGATAACAAACCAGAATCTACAGGTGGCTTATCAAAGACTGGCTTTTGGACTTTTGTGTGTTTCCAGAACTTCCTACGCTGCCAGAACAATAAGACCAACTACAACCTGGTGTGTGAGACTCTGCAGTTCCTGGACATCATGTGTGGAAGCACCACGGGAGGACTGGGCCTGCTGGGCCTCTACATCAACGAATCCAACGTCCACCTGATCACTCAGACCCTGGAGACACTCACCGAGTACTGCCAGGGCCCCTGCCAGGAGAACCAGGTAGACTGAGAAGGCCAGGAGGGGGGCTCTGTCACTGAGTTAGGGGCCGTTCAGATAGAGCGTTTATCCGAGGCGCCTGTTGTTACTCGGCAACCAAAACCTGCAGGCTGCATGATGATGAAGTTGCGGTAATTAAGCAGGAAAACAACCCGTTTCCATTCAAAATGATGTATTTGTGCACAAAAGATGCAACATCTGAACGGCCTGTGGTACACGGAGGAGTGTAAACAGGTCACAATCACTGCGGTGGCGTCCTCCTACGATATATACGCGTGCTTGATTGCAAGCCGCCCTGAGAAATAACCGCAGTATTGGATTCGTGTATAGTAGACTCATCACTATTGTGTGTGTGTGTGTGTGTGTGTGTGTGTGTGTGTGTGTTGCAGACATGTATAGTGACCCATGAGTCCAACGGCATCGACATCATCACAGCCCTGATCCTGAATGACATCAGTCCTCTGTGCCGGTACCGGATGGAGATGGTGCTCCAGCTGAAGGTACGTCAGTTATCGTTATCTGCCCCAGTGTCAGACTAAAGGGGGCTAAAACGAACGTGTCCAAAAGCCAGAATTTCTCAAAGCAGACAGAGAAGTAGAAAGAATGTAAATTCAATTAAGCCTAATTAGCCTATTATTGTTGAATATTTTCACTTTCTTACTCAATGATTGTTATTTTTATTAGCTTCTGTCAGTGTGAACAGACTCAGTTCAGGGTTTTAGGACAGATATCGTATGTATTAACTCCAGTGGTTCCCAACCTAGAGGTCGGGACCCCCACTAGGGGTTGCCAAAGCGTCACATGGGGCTCATAAAAAAATAATATACACAGTAGAACTGTATCTCAGCAATTTGTTCATTTCTCTGGAGAAAACTAATTAAGATCTAAACTCTGAAGAACTGAACACAGAGCTTCAGCCTCTGATCAGCAGCCTCATCCTGTTGACCAAAGAGTTTATAGAACAATGAGGAGAAAACTGTGAATCTGTCAGAAAAGTAAGAATATTTAGTCTGTATGATTGTTCAAAAATACAATAAATACAGAATACAGACAGAATTGTATAAAAATATCAGGAAATCTCATCTCTGATCAAGGAAATAATCAAACTTCCTGCAGTTATTGAGTTCACTGTTTGGGTTCATTGTTCAGTTTATCATCTGTTATCTGCTGTTATTGTTATTATTGAAAATAAAATGAAATATACATAAAGTACAGTCAGTTTACTCAGTGATAGAAAAGGTTTGGACATAGTGTATTACTCTGTTACTTCAAAATAAAAGTCACGTAATTTACAGAATAAAGTCTCATTTTATTTTGGCTCGGGGTCACACCTGTCGACTGACTGCCGCTGTCTTCTCTCCGGTTGCCAGGACAATGCCTCCAAGCTGCTGCTGGCTCTGATGGAGAGTCGCCACGACAGCGAGAACGCAGAGAGGATCCTGTTCAACCTCCGACCACGAGAGCTGGTCAGAGTCTTCCCAGCAGAGTCTGTTAGAGTGCTTATTGATAACCTGAGTTCATGTATAACTGTGTGTCTGTGTGTCTGTGTGTGCGTGCGTGTGCAGGTGGAGGTGATAAAGAAGGCCTACCATCAGGACAGTGAGTGTGAGTTTGAGGAGGTGGAAGTGGAGGTTTCTCCCCGCGAGGTGGGACACAACATCTACATCCTGGCTCAACAGGTGAGTAAAGATGAGCTCCTCGCTGGCCGACAGGAGGTCTCACTGTGCTCTCAGTTTGTAGTTCTCTAAACAGGTTTGTCTGTTTGTTTGCAGCTGGCGAGACACAACAAGGTCCTGCAGAACCTCCTGAAACCCCAGAAGAACAGTAAAGAGGGAGAGGAGGGGATCTCCTCCATGGTAAACTCTACTCTAAGTACTGTTGGAGTACTACTGCAGTACTTCCTAACATTACTTTATACTGTTGGAGTACTACTGCAGTACTTTCTAACACTGTGTCTGTCCATCTGCAGTTGAACCTGAACAACCGTCCTCTGTCCCAGATGTTGAAGTCTTCAGCTCCAGCTGCTGTTGTGGAACAGGACCCTCTGGAGTACTACGACCAGCTGACCTCACAGATAGAGGTACTGCTAATACTGCTAATACCTCTTCAGTCCAACTTTATTGTCATATATAAGCATATAACTGTTAATGTTTTGTGCAGACTAATTACAGTCAGTGGATAACACTGATAACTGTAACATTAATACTAATAATTCAAATCAAATCAAGTTTATTTAAATATCTCGAGTTGACCAAAGTGCTGCGGAGATTAAAGTGACGGGAACAAAGGACAATGAAAGAAGCTATAAATATAAGGCAATATAAAATAAACTGAGTATAAGACCTGTTATAACCGTCTGCCTGCCTGTCTGCAGATCGTCCGTGAGGACCGCAGTATGGAGCAGATCGTGTTTCCCGTTCATCCGATCTGCGAGTTTCTGACCGAAGAGTCCAAGTTGAGAGTGTTCAACACCACGGAGCAGGACGAGCAGGGGTCAAAGGTCACGCACTTCTTCGAACAGACGTCCTTCCTGCACGGAGAGATGGAGTGGCAGAAGAAGCTGAGGAGTGAGTCGCTTCTTCGATTCCGATAATCAATAAATCAATTAGGACGTACAGTTATAGATTATAGACGACTGCTATTATTACTGCTGTTAATGTTTTAGTATTATTGAACTGTATATGGACCCCCCCCCATACATATGATGTATTATTATAGATTAAGATAACATTTTATTGATCCTCAAGGACAGGGTATGAAGTCATTAATGATAATTATTATCAATAACTATAACATGCGTCTGTGCATGTGTGTGCGTGTGTGTGTGTAGGTATGCCGGTGTTGTACTGGTTCTCCAGGAGGATGTCTCTGTGGGGAACCATCTCCTTCAACCTCGCCGTCTTCATCAACCTCATCATCGCCTTCTTCTACCCCTACAACTCCGGACAAGGTATTACTGATAGTACTGATAGTATTGATAGTACTGATAGAACACATTTTACAGGCCATTTCACATTAATTATGTCAGTGAAAGTACAAATATTTATGCAGTAAATGTTTGTTTGTTTTTACCTGAAAATGAAATAAAACAACAATAATAGTAATAATAATAAAATGTCAGTTTGATTAAATGATTGTAACATTGGCGTCCACAAACTTCCTTACAAAGAGGATTCAATGAACTGATACTGATCATATTATTGAACTGCATTCTGTCTGTTGGTGCCCAGAGTAACTTTTTCTTTCTCATCTCTTTTCCCTTCAACTCCTCTTCTCCTCTCTCTCCCCCTCCTCTATACTCTCTCCTCCCCCGCTCCCTCCCTCCCAGTAGGCGCGATTGACGACTCCCTGTTGCTGATGCTGTTCTGGATCCTGATCGGTCTTTCCGTGTTGGCCCTGCTCTCTCAGCGTTACGGCCTCCAGCCGCTCACCCTCGCTCTCATCCTCAGATCCATCTACCACCTCGGCATCGGCAACACGCTCATACTGCTGGGATCACTCAACGTACGTGGCACTAAGTTACCCATCAGCCACCTGGGCCGCAGGGCACTCTCACTCTGTGAACTGATAACAGAAATCTGTCTAACAAACTTTATTTAAAGTCAGACCTCCGTTTTATTTATTTTATGAGAGGATTCAAAGTGACTTTTAAAAGGTTTTCTTAATACCTTAAACTAAGGCTGCCAATATTACAATCATGAAAAAGTGAAATGTTAAAAAAAATCAATTTTAATATTTAATTTTAATTTTGGTGTTTGAAAATACAATTCAAAGGATTAAAACAAAGTGAAACAGAAGATTAAAATTAAACAGAAGAATAAAAATATTAAAGCTGCTGCAGCAATGAATTCCAGTAGGGGGCGCTGTGACTATGACTGAATATTAGCATGTAGTTTTCTGAGATGTGAAGTTTGGTGGAGATCGTACAGTGAAGTTATGACAACTTCCTTCCACAGTTTAAACTACAAAGCAACATGTTTATTTACAATTTCAGCCATTTTATATTCAAAAGAAAAAAATAAATTTCCCAGGATAAATGATAAGAACGGATTCATATTTATACAATATGATTTAATAATCCGCTGTTTGCTGTTGACCTGCAGCTGATCAACAAGGTGGTGTTTGTGGTGAGCTTCGTGGGGAACAACGGGACGTTCATTATGGGATACAAAGCCATGGTGATGGATGTGGAGTTCCTGTACCACCTGGCCTACGTCCTCACCTCCACGCTGGGATTGTTTGTCCATGAGCTCTTCTACAGCATCCTGGTAAACAACAACAACAACAACAACAACAACCAGAAATGCTGCCACAGTTCAAACTCACTGTCTGTCTGTCTGTCTGTCTGTGTGCAGCTGTTCGACCTGATCTACCGGGAGGAGACCCTGTTTAACGTGATAAAGAGCGTCACTCGGAACGGGCGCTCCATCCTGCTGACGGCACTGCTCGCTCTCATCCTCGTCTACCTCTTCTCCATCGTCGGCTTCCTCTGCCTGAAGGATGATTTCATCATGGAGGTTGACCCGCTGTTGCAGATTGCTGCAGGTAACGTCCTCAACACTCAACTGGGAGCATTTTATGTTTTCATCTGCACCAGGAAATAGTCAGCATCTTGAGTAGCTGGGGCCTCAACCTCCACTAGGGGTCGCCAAAGCTTCACAGGGAACTCATGATTCAAAGGTTTTCCTAAATGTACTATCCATCAATGCTTGGGCAAATGTCTGTCTGTCTGTCCGTCCGTCCGTCCATCCGTCCGTCCAACTGGTCGAGGCAGTTTTTCCTTGCCCTTGTCTCCAAGGTCTTGCTCATGGTGGTACTGTTGGGTCTCTGTAAATAATGTTATAAAGAGTTCGGTCTAGACCTGCTCTATTTGAAAAGTGTCCTGAGATAACTTCTGTTATGAATTGGCGCTATACAAATAAAATTTAATTGAATTGAAAAATGGTGTATATATCCAAATACTAGGACATCTGTAGATAAGTTTAGGTAAACATAACAATGTTATATTTTTGACATTATGTTGCGTGATTGAGGGCCGGAAATTGCCCTTAAGACCTCTGTTCTACTTACGACAGAAGTGTGTCAGTGTGTGTTTGTACTGGTGAGGTGTTACTGGTTGTACTGGTGAGTCTCTGACAGTAACACTGTGTGTGTTCTGTCCTTCAGGACCTCAGCAGAGTGAAGCCTCTCAGGATTTCATCAATTCGTGTTCTACAGATGGAGTCAGCTGCACGTCGGAGACCGACGCTGTCGCCGCCGTTGAGGAGGAAGGTGAGAGTTGGCGTGTGCATGTTCAACGCAGGACGACGTGATTCAGCTTTAATACACGTTCAACTTAAACGCTTCGTATTGTGTGTGTGTGTGTGTGTTTCAGAGGAGCCGAGCTCGGAGCGAGCATGCGACACTCTGCTGATGTGTATCGTCACTGTGTTGAACCACGGACTGAGGAACGGAGGAGGAGTCGGAGACGTTCTCCGCAAACCATCCAAGAACGTAAGCAACACTTTGTATCCATCCCCTTCATTAACTAATTATTATTAATGGTTACTGAGTTTTATAGATCAGTTTTAAAAAACTTTTGGGTTTTCAGATTGTATAAAGTTCTCTAGCTGCTGAGAAATAATAATAATCGTTAATAACTTCTTACTTAAGGGTTTTTGGTTAAATAAAGTCTCTGTGTATCTGTGTGTATCTGTTTGTGTGTAGGAGACGCTGTTTCCGGCCCGGGTGGTGTACGACCTGTTGTTCTACTTCATTGTCATCATCATCGTCCTAAACTTGATCTTTGGCGTCATCATTGACACATTCGCCGACCTGAGGAGTGAGAAACAGAAGAAAGAGGAGATACTGAAGACCACATGTTTTATCTGCGGTGAGTACAGACAACTACACAGCTGTCAGACCGACCACTGAGGGAACTGTGAGAGGCAGATTAGGAAAAACATTGATACACGTACGCACTGGGCATAAGGAAACTAAAAGAGACGGCTGCCCCTTAATAGTTGAATTCGATGTGAAGAGTTTTAGTCGACGCTCTGTCAGTCTGACAGTTGCAGAAAAACAAAAACATTAAACTGCGTTCAGGAGCTGCTCCTTATCACCAGGACCAAAGTATCAGAGGATTGTTGCAACACAGACCGTTTCTCTTGTAACACAGGCAACACACCGATGCATATGCTAACTGTACTAGCTGCTATTAGCTAGTCAGCGATCCTATTAGCTGTCTGTATCCGGACTGGGAGCTGGAAGGATGGGGGGAGTTGAATGAGCCACTGAACTGGAGCCGGGCGGATTTACTGCGGTTCTGAAAATAACTGAATAAAACACACAAAAACATTATATACAGAAATTCTGCAGACAAAACAGAAGTAAAACTAATGAAAACTAATACTATTACATCAACCATATGCCGACAATATTGTAATATTTATTTCAGCTTTAATATTTTGATCAGCCTTGTTATAATCACTAGTGTTTGTTTTAGTTATTTTAGAAAGTTTTATATAACTGCAGTGTGTCTTTATATTATTGTATCAGGGCGGCAACTAAACAGTAATTTTAGGTAGGGATGCACGATAATTTCTTGGGGACACTAATCTGACGACAGATTTTTAAAACATTTCCAGCAGAATATCTGACCTGCAGTGTTGCGTGTTGTTGCAGGTCTGGAGCGAGATAAGTTTGACAATAAGACGGTGTCATTCGAAGAGCACATCAAACTGGAGCACAACATCTGGAACTACCTGTACTTCATCGTTCTGGTGCGTGAGAAGAACAAGACGGACTACACCGGACCGGAGAGCTACGTCGCTCACATGATCAAAGTAAAAAAACGAAAATGACATCCACACACACAGAATAAAAAACGGGAAATACCAAAGAACACAGACTTAGCATGGAAACAACTTCTTCTGTTTCAGAACAACAACTTGGACTGGTTTCCACGGATGCAAGCAATGTCTCTGGTGGTAACCGACGGTGACGGGGAGCAGAACGAGATGAGGATGTTACAGGACAAACTGGCAGCGACAATGAAGGTTGTGACAACCCTGACGACTCAGCTGACTGAGCTCAAAGAGCAGGTATACACACACGCATTAAAGCTGCCAGGTTTTACTTATAAACAGTAAGACTCGATTATATTTGGGGTTTCAAATTAACACTCCTGAAAAGTTAATTCATCACCAGTAACTAGAGCAGTAGCACAGTAGCATGATATGATTAATTGAGCACAGTGTGAATTCAGGCAGGCCACAAAGTCAAGCTCAGCTACATCAGCTGATCGTAAACACACATCAGCTGATTCTCTTCTAGCCTCCAAGCAAAGCTGCTTTAGCTTGCCTACCTTTGCTGCTTACTCTGCAATCCGCCTCCACCGCAGTTCCTCCTTTTATGCTGTATCTGATTTAAACAATGTCATTTCTGTTGTCATTGATGCTTGCTATGTTATGTACCCTGGGGAACCTTTGCTGCTACTCTGGTCCCAGAACAGAGCCAATCCACCAAATTTAACATTCTGCATTTGGAAAAAAAGTTCTCTTTTGACAAACGTTTTGGTGCTGACTGAAATGCTTTCTAGTCACAACCTGGAAATGATTTGTACATCAATTACTCACCCTGTGTTGCCTTGAATTCCTGAAGATATTTCCCCCACTGCATGCCAAAGCCTCCACATTAATGTAGAATGAATCCAAAACATTCTAAGTGGGTCTTTCTCAGTGTGTACTAGTTTATCAGACCAATGACTGAAAGAATTTAGTACTGTAATCTTATGGTGCAGTCTCATTTATCTAGCTGCACTGCACTCAATTCTTCCAAAAAGCCCTACTAGTAGTACCCAGCTGTGGGTAAAGCAAAAAACGCAAGCATGCGTGTGTGTTGTGAAGGGTATCTACTAGCAGAACTGGAATATAATATTCATAGGTGTGTTTTTATTAGTGTCTAATTGTGTTTTCCATACCTTAGAATGAGCTGTTTTATCCACAGAGTCCGCCGCGTTGAACCACCATGTTTCTACATTAGCCGAGGAGGGACAAACGTAGTTTCTCCCTTGTGTTTAAAAAGGGTGGGTGAAGGGAAGGAGTTGCATCATGCAACTACACCGCTAATCCTACACACTGGTCCTTCAAAGGGATATAAGATTATTTTATGGTAATATAAAGAAAAATAACACAAAAATTAGTAACATTAAACAAAGGAAGTTGACTGACGATTATCAATTTCCTCTTCAATACGTTTGAGTTATTTGTGGGGAATAGTTATGATTTCTGTTAAATACAATCACAGTGAAGCCACAAAAAATAAATAGTAATAATTATAATACCTCTTTTTTTTTTTTTTTTACTATATTGGAATTGAAACTGGTACTCAATCAGAATCGATAAATCAAATAAAAACACAATTTCTAACAGTGTGCACTCACCGTACCTGCTGTGTTCATGCAGATGACTGAGCAGAGGAAGAGGAGGCAGAGGATGGGATTCGCTGACGTCCAGGCGGGAGCCAGCGCAGCGCTGCCGCCCAGCGCCGCCGGAGGGAACCACCAGATCTACAAACAATAAAGAACTGATTACTGTTCACTACAACATCTGTACACCACACAGTTGGACTGATGGACCGCCCCACACACGGTTCTCCTGCAGAAAAACACTAGAATATTAAACAGAAAGCTAATGTTTCTCACTGAAAACACAAGATTCTTTTTGTTTGCTTTTACTTTTTAATGTGTCTCTGATCCAGAGTCAGTAAGATCTCCACCATTACTGTATAATGTAAGACATGTTGATAGTATCTCAGCTAAGATTAGTTCATATTTTGATTAATTTAAATATATTGTGTGTGTGTGTGTACAACAGACACCTGAAAGTGACAAATATTCAATATTGTAGATAAAATGAACTCACTTTCTCACTGTTTGTGCGCCGTATTGGAGGTCTAGATGAGGCTGTTTTAAGTGATCGATCTGACTGATTTTGTGTTTAGCTAACTTTAGTTCAGTGTGCTAGCCAATGTTTTAGCACAGTGGTTCCCAACTTGGGGGTTAGGACTCCTATAGGGATCACCAAAGCTTAATGGGGGGTCGGAAAGCCTTGTTTTAAGGGGTGAGTGGTCATTGTTCTATTTGTGAATTATGATTCGGGAAAAATTCATCCAAATCACTTGTTTTAAATAAACTCCAAATAAAATAAGTCACTTAGTCAGGGGTCATCAGTTTACACAAGGGACAAGGTTGGGAACCAGTGTTTTAGCAGAAGCTAACAGCAGCAGCAGTTATTAGTGACATTTTCTGGTGGAACTTTGGTTCAGATTTAAAGTTCGGACCGAGTTAGTTCAGATTCTTCCCTCTACAAGTGTTGGGAGAGGACTCTGGCTTCAGACTATATCCAAACCCTTTAATATTAATACATTTTGGGCCATTTCTGCAGATCTCCAGGATGGAGCTTGAACTAAAATTTGGGAGATTTGTGATGCAGCTTTAAATCTTCCATAGAGTCCAGAAATTATGGTTTTACTTTGGATCAACCTGTAAGTCACGGTTACTCAGAGTTCCAACAACAGATTATTAATAAATCTTGCCTCAGGTTTTGTTCAACAAAATAATTTCCAAAACAGAAAATTAGTAGGGATGCGCAATACATCTCATAAATTATATTTTATTATTCCAATAATTAAATTTTAGCCGATTTTTTGTAGCAAAAATCTTCTGATACTTTGGTCCTGGTGACAAGACGAATATCCGATTAATAAAAAGTGAGTCAATTAAAACTCTCCATAAGTGGGGCAGCCCTAAAAATAATAATTTATTTTAAATTCTTATGCTAACCCTCAGGTGTGTATAAACTACAGGTTGTGAACTTTTTTTTTGTTTATTTAAAATACAAAAATGTGAAATTATTGTTGTTTACCTTATCGCATAAAAAAATATTGTGCATCCCTAAAAATGACAATTGAAACTTTAATAGGTGTAATTTCTGCTTTGGAACAAACCAACTGTTCTGGGTTTTGTGATTTTCTACACAAACTGAAAAACGTAAAATCTAGAAGTCAAAGACTTCCTGGTTGGAGGACTACAAGCTGTCAATCACTGTTCAGTGTCATAGTAAAAGGCTAAAATGTGCGCCTCTGTGTGTGCTTGTAGGCTCAGAGAATAACGAGACATCGACTCACTTTAGTTATTTTAAGAAACTGTAAATAGAGACTGACGTGTGTTTCTTTGTTGATGACAGGATGAAATATTTTGTGAATGTAAAGTGAGCTGAACCCAGCTGTGTTTTTTTTATTGTAAATCTAGGGAAACTGTAGTTTTTAATTGATATACATTATTATTATTATTATTAATAATAATAATGATAAGGTTTAATAGTGATTTATGTCAGAAGAGAGCAGCTGTTTGTTTCTAACACTGTAACTAGCTCAGTACAGACACTGGATTATAGTTGAACTGCTTTTAGTTTGTGAACAGAAATAACTTTTGTTTTTCAATGAGATGGGTACACAGAGTGAGGAAGAGGAGGATGGGGACGGTTTAATGAAGACCACACATCTTCAAAATCAATAAAATATTTACTATGGAGGAACAAAATGCATTTTTTTCTTACTTGTTAATGAATTTTAGAATGCGGTATGATCTGGTGGGGTTTTAATTAAATGCTCCTTTAAAGTTAAAAACATTAATACTACAGCCCTGGTCAGGACCACCACTAGGAGTCACAAGGCCTTCTTGATTTTAAGGGGTGTAAGAAAGCTTTTTTATAATTATACAGTAGACCTATAAATCAGGGTTTCATCGATTTCTGTAATGCAATGAGCCAGCTTGTGGTACTTTCCAATCTCACCTCACCATTCTGCAGTCGGGACATCAGAAAACAGTCCATCTGTTGGGAAAATCTGTCTTTATTCCTTTTTAATAAAAACAAAAAACAAAACATTAACCTGTAGGTTTCGCTTTCTGCTGCATCCACATGGATTCAGGCAGATGTCTACTTCAGCAGTTCATAGCATTATAGCATTGTATCTTAACATTGTTTTTACTGTTTTATTACATAAGCTGGGTCGGCAATACGATGTCAAATGGATGCCTGCATCTTAATAACTTTACATTTATTACATCATCGTTTCTATTTATGTGCGATTCACCAAAACATTAATTCAAAGAAACTACATTTATTTTGTTGTTTGCTGTTTGTTGTTGTCATTTTTATTCACTAACGTCTGTCAGATAAATCTGTCTGCATGAACAATTTCAACAATGTGTTTGTTTTCAATGGATGGACACACAGAGACACACACACACAGAGCGAAGTTACTGTTGGTCTATGAATAGAGTTTATTGTTCTGAGCTCGTCCTGCAGTCTGTGTGTGTGAGCTAATGTCTGACCTATGGATTCACTGCTTCCCACCATGTTTCTATTAGAACAGGTGATCTCATGGTCTGTGCTACCTATATGCTTGTTTTAATATATGTGTGTGTGTGTGTGTGTGTGTGTGTGAGTGAGAGAGAGAGAGAGAGAGAGAGAGAGAGAGAGCGCTTCCAGTAGGATTTCGGAGCTTTGCTGTGGAGCCTCAGAGGAATGCAGCTCCAGCTGTTCACTGTCACAGGCTGCAGCAGCTGCTCACAAACACAAAGCTTTTTATCAAAGAGTGACCCAACAAGGTAGTTTAATATGTTCAGACTCTGTTATCAGCTGGGATCTTTTAACTATAGCAGCAGAGATATGAAAGGACAGAACAACACATAACATTCATAACACTCACTGTCCAAGCACAGTAGGAGGAAACGCCAACCATACCTGTACCTTTAATACCTTATTTTACTTTTAACTTATTCAGTAACTCTTTGCACTATTATTATTATTATTATTATTATTATTATTATAACAGTTATTAACATATAGTCTATCTTCAGATGACATTCTCCCCCAAGTGAATCACAATGACACCAACAGGGAACTGCGACGCTAAAAGGGACCAGTCATGCCGTTGCGTATTTAATCATTTCTGGCCACTAGGGGGCAGAACAACTGCACAACACACCGACAGACACACAAGCTCAGGGTTCCCCCTTTTATATAATGTACCGCTACAGCTAGAATTTACTTTAACAGTAAACATTTTTCAGGATATTTGGTCGCTTTAATCCATTTGCAGGCGTTTTGATTGGAAAACTGAAGTCTCTAAAATTAACAAGTTCAGCTACTCAGAAACTGTTTCCTGGTTTCTCAGATTTGAGCCACATTAAGTTATTTTCTCTCTGCAGATCAAACACATCGGTAAGGCAGCAGAAAGGAAATGGGTTCAATTTCATTTCCTTTGTACAATTTGAGAATGTAAGAATGACTTTAAGTCTACAACATTATTATATTGTCAAAGCCACAGAGAGCCACTGGAGGGGAACTGGTTAATACTACAGGTCTCAGAATACAGGAAGTAATCAACAACCGTGACCTGATTTTATGCTGAAGGTAACTTTGGTTACCTGGCTGAGAGGCTGGAGGTGTGCAGCTCTTCCTCAATCAGCTCACTGTGGCTCTGTCCTGTCCCATCACTCCATCACATATATACAGCTGTTCTGCTGGCAAAAACATTCAGAAACTGACCATTATCTTGTTACAATAGCAGCCGGTGCCACTTTTAAACTTCCTGTGACTAGCTTACTTCAAAATAAAAGTCACCTCGAAGGAAGTGATGGTTCTGGTTCTGTGGATTGTAGGTCACTGAGCACCAGAGGGATTCATTAAAGATTAAAGAGAGGATAAATAAAGCACCGGCTAACTGATACTGGTGTGTGTGTGTGTGTGTGTGTGTGTGTGTGTGTGTGTGTGTGTGTGTGTGTGTGTGTGTGTGTGTGTGTGGCATAAGTGTCAATCTGACTGACAGCGGAGGGATTAGAGGGACCAGCTCGGGGTTCCCTTGGCGTCTCTCTGTTGTCCAACTAAAATAAGTTTATAGCATCGGCCCATTGTTCTGACTCTCTCTCTGTGTGTGTGTGTGTGAGTGAGAGAGAGAGAGAGAGAGAGAGAGAGAGAGAGAGAGAGAGAGAGGGGTGTGTGTGTGTGTATGTATGTGTGTGTGTGTGAGAGAGAGTGAGCTGTGGTTGGTGTGTGTGACAGGTGTTTGTGGGGCTGTAGGGGGTTTATACTGTATTATACCGGGATTAACACTGTGCACAAATGGTGTGTGTGAATGTTTGTGTGATTAAAAGGTTAAGGTACGCTGCACATATTATTTATATCAACATTAATTATCAATATCTTAGTATCAATTATTTTTATTCTCTTCTGCAGCTTTTACACTGAAAGGCACTCTGTGTTTGGCAGCTTTGGCGTTACGTTAGCTTCCAACAAGGGCTTTTTTTTTTTTTTTACTCCTAATCAGAAATACTGTATTGATCCTCGGGGGGACAGATGTTCAAGTTGCTAAAAAAAGAAATAAGAAGAATGTTAAATGTGCATTATATTACAATATATAACAACAATATATATAGAAAATAGAAAATAAGACAAGTTGCGCTTTCCCTACTCTCGCCGCTCTTGCCCTGGCGTTGACTTTTGACCTTTCACGAGAGTGGAGACGCTGTTAGCAGCAAAGCTTCAGTCAGCAGATTCACAACTTTAGAATCAGACCATCGACCGGTTCGTGGTTCATTTAGATCGATCAGAGTACCGATGTAGTCGCGTCTATAACGTTAAAACTGATCCCCGACTCGTATCGGTGAATCTTTACAGCCTTAATTTTAACAGATCTATGACTTTAAGGCTCCAGACACTGCACGTCAGCCCATATTAACATGAGATAGACACTGTACCATCTGTTTCCACAACTGCAAGATTAAAAATGTAATTTTACTGCTCACGATGTGAAGTAACCTTCCAGGAATCAGTGCTGTTTGATTGGCCGTTGGCACCAACACAGCAGTCTCCCTGAAATAAGAGCATAAGCATCGTATCAGACGCAGTGAGCGATGTGTTCACTGTCACTGTGAGGACGGTCTGGTCAGATGGATCCATTAGTTTCTTTTCCAGGGAGTAAATTGTTCCTGTTGACAGCTGCTGAGTGTTTGCTGACGTTACAGACTGACAGACTGACAGACTGCTGCTCCGTCCTGAATGTCCACAGATCCACATTAACGTGATTAAAGGATCCTCACTAGTATTACTGAAAATACCAACTATTATTTATTATTTACTGTCCACTAGTCTCAGCTGTTAGTCAATATTAAGGCAGCCTGATTATGGCAAAGAATGTGGTCAATACTGAAGGACCCAGAATACTGGAAGCATTCAGACAATAATCGGCTATTTTCCATCATCCTGAGGTCTGATTTTAAGCAGCAGGAGTCTGTGACCAGCGACAAAAAACATTCAGAAACTGAACATTATCTCTTTATGATAGCGACCAGTGTCACTTTGCTTCGTTGGTTAAATGTTTTTAATGTGAAGCTGCAGCAGTAGATCTGAGACCATCATTATCTTTACAGTCTGTCCTGTGTTCAGCTTTGTGACGGTGAATTTAGATTATCTAAGAGCCTTTTTAAACAGTTTATTTAGACTAAGAACTAGGAGAATTTTCTCAGCGTATAAAAGGAATACTTCATCCTTCAAAAGCAACTAAAGCTGACAGATAAATGTACTGGAGTAAAAGTATAAAGCTGAATATAATAAAGGTATTGGTGCACACTGGTGCATGAGTCAGTGGTTCTGAGAGTGTGAACTGGAGGTCTACAAGGTATTTTTATGGCTGTGTGACTCAGGATTTTACTCTGGATTAGAGAGAATCAACAGGAGGGACAACTGGAGAGAGAAAGGGGGAGAGAGAGGTGAAGAAAGGTCAAAGGGGAGAGCGATAGAGAGGAGGAGGAAAATTAAATTAGTCAGCGGATATCTTGTTCATTTCCCAGAGAAAGTCAGATCTCTCTGGGAAATGAACAATCTGTCCTCCAATCGTTTATTTTTCCTCCTGCCAGAGAGCGAAACAGCTGATGGACGGAGGGACGGAGGGACGGAGGGGACAGCTGGTAGGGATGGAGGGAGGATGGATGGAGGGCTTACAGAGAAATGTGCAGCAGTATCAGCAGTAAGTCTGTGAGTAAACCTTTATTTATAAAACGCCTCTAAACACAGAGGGGTCAGCCAGCAGCAACAGACTCTCAACAGCAGGAAAAAGGAGGAAAAGTTTGAATCGCATCAACAAACTGAAACAATACTGTGTACAAATCTCACTAAAATAAGCATAAGGAGGTGTTGGTTCATTTGTTTCTGTGAATCAGTGTGTCCGAATTATAACTCCTATTCTGATAAATACCCCCATATTATAATAACACAACTGAAACTAATAAAAACTAAACTAAAACTAAACATTTTTAATAAAAACAAAAAGTGAAAAAAGAAAACGCACTCATACTGCACCATTAGCTAACTAGTTACATCTAAAAGCTGATGAATATTATAGCTAACTATCGATCTAATGTCCATCAACTGTTAGTCAGATAACATTACGAACAGGGTTGGTAGGAATTATTTATTTATGATTACTATTTAATTACTTTTACTTTAAAGATGACTTTATTTATTCTGTTGCTCATTTACTTAAAAAGAACATCAAGTGAAGTTTATTCATTTATTTATTTTCATAATTATCTTAACAAGCCGTAAACATTTTTCCAAATGAAAAGTTTGGATTAATCTGCAAGTATTTTACTTTATGAATCTCTTGGATGTTTTGTTGGTGGTGATGTATGTTGTATGTGTTTTTTATGACTGACTGTTTTGTTTGTTCTTTTTTAGTTTTTGTGAATTAAATAAAAAAAACATTTTGTTAACTAGATGTGACTATATATACACATACATACATATATTTTCAAAATGTGTTTTCAACCTAGATTAGCCTAGCACGTAGCATATCTGAGTACAGGAAAGCAGGAAGTTGACCGAGGCAAAAAGGGGCGGGGCTTTTGAAGGGTCAATTGTGATTTGGGGGAGGAGTTACAGGCAAGTTTATCTGCTGTTACAAATTAACTTGGACCCAATCTGAACCACATGGTCAGTGGGCTTCAACAGTAACGCCAAAATGCAGGTCCACTGCGAGCTCTGCTGGGATAATGGATGCTCAATAATTCACTAACATAAAGAGACATTTTAAGGACGTGTAAGTTATTACAAGTGTCTTAAAATTGCTCCAGGATTTGCAGCTACGGCAGTAACACGAGCCGAAACCTTTCTGCCGTGGCAGCTGATCGCAGTGCAGAAGTGAG